CATTTCGTTGGGCACAGAGACGAAGTGGGTGTATTCTACAGTGATAATGCCCCAGAATTGATTTCAGCTTTGGAACAATTGCAATGGAGACATGTTCTCAGCAAACCGTACATCTCCAAAAGCAATGCCGTAGCTGAGAGGGCAATCCGCTCCGTGCTTGAAGGTGCAAGAGTGAACCTATGTCAAGCGGGACTTCACCACATTTACTGGCCCCACGCAGCGAGACATTGGTGTTTCATGCAGGACGTGTTGAACAACCAAAGTGGAACTAGCCCATGGAAGCTGAGATTTGGTGATCACTCCAAGGATCCCTGCGTTCCTTTTGGGGCATTGATTCACTATTGGATGGGTCCAAGCAAGAAACAAAAGGGCAACCTTAGGTTCGAGCCCACATCATCGCCAGGCGTCTTTCTCGGATATGTGGTACACCCTGAATTCATGTTCAGAAAAGAATACTTCGTTGCTCCATTGAAGTCGTTGATCGATTCACCAATGGCTGAAGCATCGACAGTACTTCGCGTCAGTAAAATTGACATTCCCCAATCCGTCTCATTCCCAGTTGCCGAAAATCAGAAACTGATCTCAGGTGACTCCGTTGAAGCACAGGTTGATCGCATTGAGGAGCTCATTGAGAGAACCTTTGAAGATCAAGATGCGAAGCCCGTGCGAGAGCCGGAGCCGAAGGTCAAAGATATTGAAGCTGGGGAGCCGGTCGAATCATCTATGGCAAATGCCGTTCACCACCCAGTATGGTTGGCTTTCATGAAGCATGTCGACTTTCAAGAAGGATGGTTCGAGCACGCTGGTTGTCATGTCAATGCCAAAGAGTTTTCAGAAACATACGTCAAGCCAATCGACAAATTCAACGCGTCAGATTTTCCATTCAGGACTACCTGCTACAAACTTGACAATGCCTGGTTTGTCCTGGAAGAAAACTTGAAGATTGATCCTGCGACGTGGATCTTGAAGCAGAAACATTGAATTGTGAAGTCATGACAACCATCTTCTCACCAGAACCCATCGACTTGAGAACTCGTCATGATGACCGTCCGGGGGGTGGTGATGATGATGAAGATGGGGGTGACGACGATGACGATGCTAATAAGATAGAAGTGATCGATCCAACCACCGGAAAAATTGAGAAGATTGCACGCAATGATCCAAGTTATTACAGTGCATCAGGTTTTAAAGCCCGTAGGTACAAGGGTTCCAGCAAGCCAATGGATATACCCACCTTCATTTGGCAATCCATGTCCGTCAAAGCCAGGAAGGTTGCCATCGAAGAGGAGCAGAAGAAGATTGCCCGTATCGAAGCTGAAAAGAAGAAGGCCCAACGCTCCGCAGCAGAACTCAAGCGCGCTGAGAAGCGTGAGCCGGGTGTTGCCGCCGTCCTCAATCAGTTGTATCAGGCATACCATCAAGATGATGTTAGCATTCCTGCCATGCCAGTATGCAACTATAATCCACAAAGGCGTCGGGAAAAGATGGTTAGAGTGACGATCCATTCAGGTGAACGAATCATCAACACGCTTGTTGCCAGACCAGTCAACAGAAAAGAGATTCGAGCAAATCCCAAAGCTCAAGCAGCTCTCGATGTTGAGTGGGAGAAGCTAGTCAAGAAATCAGCGTGGTTGTATGATACGGTTGAAGAATGGTCGAAGATATCATCAGGTGCCAAGAAGAGTGGAAAGAAAGTGCATGTAGGAAAGGTATTTGAGATCTGCGTTGGAAAAGGTAGTGAGCTCCCAGAAGGACATAAGCTCAGAAAGTTCAAAGGGCGAACCGTGTTTCAGGGCAACAACGTTCGAGATGAAAATGCAGATGTTGCATTATTCTCAGAACTCGGTTCATCCCCTGCTACTATGGAAGCGGGAAAAGCAGTTGATGCATATGGATGCCAGCCCGGATTCAGCAGAACGATGGTGTTCAAGCCTACACCCAGGCGTTGATGAAAGGTACCGAGACTTGGGTTGAAATCCCCCAAGATAGGTGGCCGAAGTCTTGGATAGGCAAGTACAAACGCCCGGTCTGCAAAATGAGAATCGCTCTGTATGGACATCCCGATTCGGGGGGCTTGTGGGAGATGCACTGCGAAAAGATGTTATATGAAGTAGGTTTCATAATGCCGGATCCGGAAGGCTGGCCAAGTGTTTTCTTTCATCCCGAAATGAAGCTCCTACTTGTGGTATATGTAGATGACTTCAAAATGGCTGGTCCCAAAAGTCAGATGGCCAAAGGTTGGGAAATGATCGGGTCACGCATTGACATGGATATCCCGGGGAATGTCAACCGTTACCTTGGATGTGACCACGTGCTACAGGACGGCATTCGTCTTCCAGTAACCGCGCATCCTTTTGCCCATCTCTTTGACAAGTCCTTGCCAGATCCAGCCGCCAAACCGGCCGCTGCTGCCAACAGGACTCAGGATTTCTGGGAAGTTGTACCAGACAAAGGCATCTACATCAGGCATCATTGTCAACCAAGGAAAAGCATGTATGTTCCAGACCCAGACATAATCAAAGAATGTGATCTTTCCAGTGTTCGTTGCACAGTTGTGTTGCAAAGCTCGTCGGAAGACGATGCCAATGCTCAATGGGACCTGTTCCATGATGAAAATGGTGCACCGAACCAAGGAAGAAAGCATCCATCCATGTGGGTCGGTTCAACATACTTGTTCACAAGACAATGTAAGGACCCCAAAAGGGCTATGGCCAGTGTCAAACGTGACAAGAACACAGCGAAGAAGAAAGCAAGAGCAGAAGGTTTCTCGTACATGGATCAACTGTTTGAAAATCAGCCATGCATGAAAAAGCCAGTCAACGTCATGACCTACGACATGAAGCCGTTCTTGGAATCATGTGTCAGTCGGTATTTGACCCTAGCCAAGAAGGATGTGTCATCGCTCAAAAGGGTTCAGACTCCATTTCATGAGGAACGCATTGCTAGACCAACCCTCGCTGAGGAAGAACCAAGGGGATCACTTGCCCCAATCGCAACCCGCGTACTCATGAAGATTCTGTTTGCCGCCAGGATGGCACGCTTCGACCTTCTCCGGGCAGTTCAGGGCCTTGCGGCCCGGGTTACCAAATGGTCTGCCGATTGTGACAAGGCTTTGCACAGGTTGGTTTCCTACACCCATCACACCCTTGATGTTAAGCTTACAGCATTCATAGGTGATCCAATTGAGCAATGCAGATTGTGGTGTTTCGCTGATGCTGATCATGCAGGTGAGTATGACAATCGTAGCACCACCGGTTGTTTCCTAGTCCTCTTAGGGCCCAATACCTACTTCCCGTTGACTGCCTTCAGCAAGAAACAAACCAGTGTCTCCATATCCAGCACCGAAAGTGAAGTAGTTGCAGCAAACATCTCATTGCGTTCTGTCGGCTTACCTTCTTCCGGTCTTTGGGCTTACCTACAGAAAGCGGGGGGAGAGCAAAAGAACCGACAAAGCAATTCGAGAGGATTGCCAACTACCAACACTGTTACAAAGACTGAAAGAGATGGTGATCACTGGGAGTTCGATGTCAATCGAAGAATACTTGCTAGAGTGCATGTCAAGCCACGGACCCATCTATATGACCCAAAGGACTCCGATACCATTCCCGTTCCCATCCAAAGGATTGGAAGGTTCAGGACCACGGTCGTCAACATGGAGGGATCAGTGGACTTCAAGCAGGACAAATGGGAAGTGAAGGGCACATATCCAACCGTCAAGTCATGGACTGGCAAAACATTCTTCCGAGTGTACGGACCATATGACGCTGACTACACAGTTGAAGCTAGCGAGGTTCGTGAAGCCACCACTGACTGGGAATTCGTGGGTAACGAGAGACATGGGGAGCTCATGCTGTCGCTCATCACCAAACAGTCCATCAAAGGGGTCTTCGTTGAAGACAATCAGGCAACCATTCGAATTCTTGAGAGTGGGAGGTCCCCGGCTTTTAGGCGCACGGATAAGACCCAAAGAGTGAACCTATCTTGGCTCAGCGAACAATTCAAGAGAAGATGGTACGAGTTGGTTCATGGGCCCACTGTTCTCCAGGCGGCCGATATTCTGACCAAACCCTTCACCAATGCTGAGAAGTGGAAATTAGCAGTGTCACTGTTGTCTCACATGCTTTCTGCCCAGGCATCAGATTCCCCAAAGGGTTCAAATGGACCCTCATCACGGCGGCCACAGGCGGCTGCTGTGGAGCAAAGCTCAGGGGAACCTGATGCCGGCAGTGCTTCAGACGGTCCGATGCCCCAGAGACTTATCATTGAAGAGTGTTCTGATCCAGCTTCACGCTTGAGTGATCCTTCACGCTTGAGTGCACATGGGTGTCGGGTTGTTCAGTTCACCAAGAAGCACAGCCTGTTGGATGCCAAATATAGGGAGTATGTTGTGAACATTGTGAACAGTTTTCCCAAAACCAAGAATGTTCTCGTTTGGGTCAGCCTTCCGTGCACGGGGGGTACCTCATGGTCATATGTCAACATGAAGATTCCCAGTGCTGCACAAAAGGTGATCGCCCATGTTGTATTGTTCAAGAGACTTTGGAAAGCAATGAAGTCGTTCTTGAACGCCATAGAGCGGGATCACTACATTGCCATTGAATGGCCAAAAGGTTGCAGGTACTGGAAGTTTCCTTTCGTTGTCAGATTCATTGAGGACCAAGGCCTACTCATGTACGATTTCGACGGTTGTATGGTTGGTACAAAGGATGAAAAAGGAAACCCAATCAAGAAACCATGGTCAATCGCCACCGATTGTGGTTTAGTTGGAATGGAGCTCAGTCGATTCAAATGTGATGACTCTCACAATCATGTTCAAGGGAGAGGATCTTCACTCAGACACACGGAATCGTACACCGAGCTAATGGTTGATACCATTCATCATGCCTTCCAACAGCTCTCTCAGATCAAAGTACGCCCCAGACGATCCCCTGCGCTACCCTTGCATTCCTATCATGTCGTCCACCGTCATGCCAAAGGAGGATGTTGCCCGCTATGAAGCGATGATGGCAGTTGCGCGCCGAGAGGTGAACGCCGTGGCAGATCACCTGAAGGTCAGCGTCTACCAGAATGCGTCTGACTGGTGCCGCCGCTTCTCCGAGGCAAGGGTGGCTGGCATTGGTACCGTCTTCTTGGACGGGTACGCCGGTGCCAACATGTTGGGATCGGGTCAGGTCCCGCTTGGCTCCATGGTGGACTCGCTGTTGCCCAGCGACTCGATCAATTCCTTCAAGTCCTACCTCGAGATGAACGAGCAGCTGAATGAGCATCCTGACATGATGTATGCTGCCGTTCCATGCCCACCGAAAGGTGAGGTCGACGTTTTGATTGTGGGCGACTCCAGCATCGCGCTGGTGTCGAACCCTTTCAATCCTGATGCTCGCCAACGCCTTAGTTGGGGCGACCTTCTCCAGGGAACCAAAATTGAAGGAGTTCGTGAGGTCCATCATAAGATGACCTGGGGCAAGGGCCTGGTCCAGATCCTGGAGGCGATCCGGCAGAAGAAGGCAGAGGTCGAACTGCACCACAGAGCCAACGGAACCCCTCCACGCAAGTGGTTGGTCCTTGTTGGCTGGGCCGGCAACGACGTTCACGGGGATTCCGGCTATCAGGGCTGTGAGTGGACTCACAAGCCGTGCTGGAATCGAACGGAAGCCGACCGAAAGGTCGCGGCCGACTATGCCAAAAGGAGATATGACCTTGTCGAATGCTCCATCAACGAGTTCCTGGATTTCAAGGACGAGGACGACAGCATCCTCGACTTCCTGTTCATCGGGAACGCTGAAGCGAAACGCTACAAGCTCCCGGCTTCGTACAACCGTGCCATGGGACAGTGGTTTAGTAGGCTCAGCCAGGGTGGCATTCAGTGCATTTGCTCCGATGTGATCGCAAGCAATTGCAGCAAGTATGATCAGTATCATTTGGTCGACGACCCTTTCAACAGGTCGACTGTGATCAGGGCAGTGTCCTCCATGATCAAATTTCATCTTGCTGCACTTGACATCATGAGCGTCGGCGCCCAAGTCAAGGTCGAGGCAGAGAAAATGGCGTCTCCTGACATCTTGAAAGCCGGTGTGGAAACCTGGCCGCATTTGCTGTCCTTCAAAGTCGCACTCCAAGAAACTCGCGTGGTTCAAGAGTTCCTCCGCCAGTCAAGAGCCCCGGTGACGACCCCAGCAACTCTCAATCAAGCATGTCAAGAAGCTGATGAAGAGATCATGCAGTGGTGCGCCGCGGCGGTCGACGATGCAGAGGACAATGCCACTCGAGAGGGTCGGCCAGTTGGACAAGACTTCACCCGGGAGGAGACTACATCCATGATGCCCATCGACGTTGTGGACAATGACTCCGAGGATGAAGAGGCAAGGATCCGCATGCACATTCAAAAGGACCTTGACGAAGCGGTTGAGGCGGGTTTCAGCACTGTCCAAGACGATGAATTCGAGGTCATCGAGAAGGACATCCCAGAGAAAGGAGGCTGGACCGAGGCCGAGAAGACCAGACCAGGCATTCTCAATCCCTTTGATGAAAGTGAGAAACCCTTCACAATCATCGATGATGAAGGCAAGGAAGTTGCCCGAGACGAGGAGTCCAATGAGCCCATCGGTGAAGAGGTTGACTTCGGCGGCAGTGATGTTGAGGTGATCGAAGCAAAGCGAGCCGAAAGGCCTGCCGCTGGTTCTACTGAGGTGTCCCCACCTTTGATGAAATCTGCGGCCAAGGCACATGCGGTGAAAAAGATGCCTCACCAAAGCCGAAGATCGACCCGGTGACCATCAGACTTGAAGAGGCCACTGAGAAAGCGGAGGAGGCCGTCTGGCTCGATCCCCAGGATCTTGCCGCGAGGTTCCCGTACAAGACCACCGAGTACGGCAGGCCGAACCTCCTCAGCCGCAAGCTGACCTATCTTCTGCGGGGTCATGCATTGGCGTGGGGCAAGAAGTCTCCGGATTTCAATGCCGCCGAACTCTCTGCAGACTGGGAGCAGACCAAAAACATCCTTCGGGAAAGGTCACCGGCGTCCAAGATTGGGAGATCCTTCAAGTCATCCGATCTTCGGACTCCAGACGCTTCCAAGTGAAGGTCACTCGTGTCGAGCAGGATGCAACCTGGAAAGGTTTGCCGTGGAAGCCTATTGCACTGAGAGCGTTCCAGGGCCACAGCATTGCTGGACGTGGCGAAGCTCAGCTCGGTCGTCACCTTGGATCCCGACTTCAAAGCTGTCGACCTGGACCAGCCTCTCAGGTTCCCACGTGTGAACTCCAGGCCGGACGTGAACCAAGAGCTTTTGGATCGTTTGCCCAAGGTTATCTATCACTCATGTGATCGACAAACGATGATGAACATCATCGAGAACGGCATGGTGCCTGGTGGTTGGCCTCGCTCAACTGGGCGGGCCCACAACTACTTCATCACAATGCCTCCTTGGGACGCCAATCGAAGAAAGCTCGCGGGAACGCGTGCCGGGAAACAATATTACCTGCCTTTTGACACAGAGCTGGCAGAGCGGTGTTCGCTTGTTCAGGACAGATGAGGCCATTATGTCGCCTGACTTCGTGACCAACGACCTCCTCATGTGTGCATACGACGCGGTGAACCGTGAGTTCGTTTGGACAAACAGAGGTTATACGTTCGCGAGATCAGCCTACAATGAGTTCATCAAGAAGAGCAAGGAGCAAAATCAGGTCTTGGCTGAAAGCAAAAAGACCAAAAAGACCAAGATGTACCAGCTGCTCAAGCTGCTCACGGAGAACTTTGCCTGAAAAGCCAAGCCAGACCAGAATGGATCCATCCAAAGCATGGTGATTAAGACTTCTCTCAGAACTGGAGACCAGGGAGTTGTCGAGGACTTCACGGTTGGAACCTTCGCCATCTCAAGGTGGAGCCGTCCGAAAGGCCGAAAGGGCGGCCGAGGTGGGCCGAGGGCCGAGAAAGGTCTCTGCCGAGGCCGCTCTCGAAAACTTGACCCCTGAGTGCAACATCGGCAGGTTGGTGAAGCAAATCAACCGATTCTGAACTGCCCATTCTGTGGAAAGGTGTCCAGGCCAAGTGGACGGATTCTTGTGTCCACATTGATGGGTGGAAGCGTGGAAGGATTCACGCATTGCTACTGAGCTTTGCCGACTGGAAAGTCAGGCCGCGGAATTGGGTGTCACAATGTCTCTTGACAAAGTGACCGCTATCCAACCCAGAAGGCAACGACTTTCGGACCGCAATGCCGCAGAGGGCAGACGTGGTGGGAAATCGAACTACGCCGCTCTCCGGGACACCGCCAAGAACCACCAGCGCAGGGCAAGAGCGGGTGGCTTCGATTCCATTGCAGCAAGGTTGGAAGGCGACCCCTTCTACCAGCACAATTGTGCAATGGCGCAGTGAGTGTCGCCATCAGCCCCGAGTTCGACAGGACCTTTGAACAACGGGAACATGGACAGGGCCCCGGCGTGCAAACCCGCCTGGTCTTCATGACGAGTGAGACCCGTTCATTGGACGACGCCTTCGATGTCACCCACGAGGCCTACATCGCTCACCATGGCAGGTTCTTTACCCTTGCTCAATTTGCGGTGTACGCTGTCAAAGTTGTGAAAGCACGTGGGGAACCCGTGCCGCAGATCTACGGTTGGAATGGGTTGATCATGCCCGCTGAGGCGCCAACAGTTGCTGATCAATTCGTTGATCTTGCTGGATTCGCCAGGCTGAAGCCTTTGAGACCAACTTTGACGTGCTCAAAGCCGATCAACACATGTCAACGAAGAGAACTGCGGTGGCATCCCCAGTCGACACCTTTCCCATGGACAAATCCAAGGTGACCACGGAGAACATTGAAGGACGATTCAGAAGCTTCAATCCGAAAGTGGTCAACAAGGGCTCCAAGGGAAAGCGCACTGAAAAGGGTGCCGGACGACAAGACTCATCAGATGCTTGGAAGGGATACCAGAAGGGACAATGGGATGATCGTCGAGGAGGTTACCAGCAGAGTCGGGATCAAGGATCATGGAGTTGGAGCAGTTGGCAACAGAGGCAATGGGATGACCAGGCCTGCTTCGTTTGTGGATCCCCTTACCACTGGGCTCGTGACTGTCCTGACAGAACTCGAGAACAGAAAGGCAAAGGTGGCAAGTGGGAAAGACAAAGCAGTCCGAAAGGTTCTGCCGGTGGCTCCAAGGGCTACGCGCCCCGAGGCAAAGGATCTTCTGATCGACCATTCAAAGGTCAGAGAATCCAACCGGTGCTGAACCCTCAGGCAGTTCGCGCTGCAAGCCCACAAGAAGTGGAGAGGCTGAGACGCGAGAGGCAGAACCCTCCGCCATTGCCGCCAAGCCCAAGGCTCCGTGCTGACCGTGGACCAGCTCCTGCAATGACTCCAACGCAGCCAGATCATCCACCACCGTCGGCGGGTACGGCAGCTCCAAAGTCACCTGACCAACCGCCAAGGACCTCGACAGTGACATTGACACCCAGGTCTCCGGACGACAGTGCAATGGACACCACTGCCGGTGCTACAAGTTAGCACCCATTGTCGATGCTCCTGCGGAAGCTGAGCCGAATGCTACACCTCAGACTGAGCAGGCCTCCGGGTCTGCTGAACCAGCATCCGGTTCGGGCTCCAGGCGACAACGCCAGGTTGTTGGCGAGGAGGTGATTTTCATCAACAGCATCCCGTACACCGTCACGAAGTTCGACGATGGTTCTCAAGAAGTGTCATCCTGGTGATCGAATGAGAGTGGCTTGAGGAAAGTTGACAGGTAAAATCCTGAGCTCACCATTAAGTTCCGTATGTTATCTTTGCTTGATCCATGCTCACCGAGAGGTGCAGCCAAATTTCAACTGTGCCTGTTTTGCGAGTGTTCCCATGTGGATCACATCCTTTATCTAATTCATTCCAACTATGAGTTTGCCATGATTTGCATCGCTACTTAGCACCAAGCTCACGGCAGGAGCCTTTGCAACGGCGACAGCAAAACGTTTTTGAAGCTGTTGCGAGAGCTCAGCCGTCGTGGTGTGTATTGAATGGCGTTCATGGCCGATCCGAACAAAAAGCGCGAAGCTGCTCACTGCATTTTGCATCTTTCATGCGTTCGTTGTGCATCCGTTTGCCGTAGCTTAAATCCAACTAATTAGTTTAGGCACTGTAAAGGCAGTGTGCCTAAGCCGTAGGTTGGTAGCTGATTTTGCTTTCAAAAGATTTAGGCACAGTCCAATCATGTTGCCTAACCACAAACACGAGTTCCTATGTACTTTGTTTTGCAGCCCATTGTCTCCCGAGGTCTGCCGATGCCATTGTGGTCCTGCGCTTCCGGCCTCCGTGTGAAACTTCGGACGGCGGGGGGTGTATTTAATGGGATCACATGGCATAGTGTACATAAGGGTTCGACTACCTTGTGTTATGGCTCAAGAAAAAGAGTAGCTGCTTTCAGGCTTGTTGTGGCTGTATTGCCTGTAAATTCAGCTTGTTTGGATTGCTGAAAGCAGCACAAGTGTCATTCAAAATCGCTGTGCGCAATGCGAGGGAGTTTGCAGGACCAGGTTCTCAGATGATCACGTTTGTTTGGCAGGCTGAGCCCCTTGAGCCGAAGTTGGCAGAAGGGAAGGCGCTTCACAAGCAGAAGTATGGTGAAGTAGATGAGGATGCCCATGCTTTGATTTCTTTGATGGTAGAAGTCGAGAGCTTCCAAGGTGTGACGTTTGTCGTAGGCAGATTCTCAAGCCGTGTTTTTTTTGCCACTTGTCCCATGGATACCCTTCTCACATTTTTGACCCATGATTAATCTCTGGTTGAATGGCCTGGTTGAATGCCATTCAAACTGTTTCATGAACCACGGAGATTCATGACTGACATCTCGGTTTTTTGCTGAGCTTGGACTTGCTTCTCTACGGGGATAGATTAGTCTTACCAGAGAATTACTGGTGATGAGTACGTTATCTTTTGAGAATCACCCAAAGCCTTTCGACAGCAGAGCCACTCTGACTTGACCTAGCTTCAGGATGCTTCAGGTGACCAGCCGCAATTTCATTTGATACTTGCAACTGGGAGACTCACATAAACAGATTTTTGAACCGTCCCACGATTTCTGATCTTTAATGGTTTATATACCTGATCATAATCCGTCTATGCTTCAATTGCCTGTGTTCGCAACGTCTCTTGAAAGTGATGATTCATCATTCGGCAAGCTGCCCGAAAGAAAATCGCTACGATCCTCCATCATACATCATTGGTCATTGATAATCAGTAAAGGCAAATTTTCACCATGAAATGTTCAATTTTAAACCATTGCAGGCAATGGTTTAAGGTCAGTAGGAGCCACATTAGTGTAGCCCAGGCTAATCAACCAAGGAACATTACTATACTAGCAATCATGAGTAATTTGTGTGGAAGGGGCAGTGCTTGTGTGTAAACATCCGCCAAGCACCTGAATATTGTTTTTGGTTGAATTGCGTTTTTACTTTTCATGTTGCTTCAATAGTATGTTTGGGTTGTTGCTTCGTTTTTCAGTTATGCTGAAGCAAGGAGCTATGCTGAGCAATAGCCCATATTGGTTTATGCCGAGTCATAGTCCCTGAAAGCGGCCACGCCTCAGGCGGTGGAAACTTCTGGAAAAGAATTTTGTGAGGTTCGGCAGCTCCTGTAGGGCAGCCTCGGTTAATTTCTATGACAACAGCATTCACGTTTGGAAAGCCGAACCGCTGTGGTATGTGAAGTGCATTTGCCCAAGGGTGTCTATGGCGTGCCACCCTGTCCTTTTGGTGTCTTGATATGCATCTGAAGCTACTTCGGTGTTGGTGTCTTGCCCAGCTCACAGCTTCAATCACATTGACCTTCATGTCCAGGTGCAAAGATTTAATGCTCAAGAAGCTGCTGAGTGGATCTCCAGCCGATACCAGGCATGTCGCCGTTTTTGAGTGCCACTATGGGGCAGTCTTCAAATACGTCGCAGGCTGTTATGGAGCAATACGAAGCGCAGAAACTGTGATAGCCTTAGAACTGATGCTGATACGGCTTCAATGGTAGAGCTTCCGCTTCTTCCCCGAACAGATCGGCGCCAAGGACTGGAAAATATGACATCCGTTTGGCATCGGATCTGTGCCTTGGCATGTCCAATATGCATACGACTAAAGGCCCTTCATCTTCCTTTGATGTCCGTGTCTTGCCACTTGAATGGAGTGTAAGATGTCCGTGTCCATGTCCGTGTCTTGCCCTTCATCTTCCTTTGATGCGTGTAAATTGAAAGAACAAACACGTTCTGTATTCATATGTGCATGCCCAGAGATTGCAGGTTGGAAGAGGCCGAAGGAGGGGGCGACGGATCGAGCGCCTGCGAAGTCACCCCTGGTCGATGGACAGGGGGGGTTCTCGAGTCTACGACAAATATGTGGGTCTCAAAATGGGGAACCCAAAAAATGGATGGTCAAGTTATGGTTACCTTCTTTGCGATAAATTCGACGACTATTAATGGATGATTGAGGGGTACCCTTACTTTGAGAAACAACCATATGTGAACGCAGAAGCGCAAAACATTTGAACGGTATGCGGGGGATTTGTGCAGTCGCTGTCCTGAAAACATTTTTTTTACATCGAACACCTACAAAACAGATGACTTTGAGCAGGTTCATGACTTTGATTTTTAGGACAGGAACACTGGTGTGGATCAGGGTCACGGTGTGAAGCCGAACCTGTCATAATTACTTGTGAATCCGCATACCTCACATATGGCAGTTGAGGAATGCAATCCTTGCTGAAACCTGGTGGCTTCATGGAGATCAGCGAACAGTTGGTTTGACAGCAATATCTCTAATTCTTTGGGGGAGGGGGACGCCTTTTCCATTCTTCTTTGCCTGGAGTCCTTCTCTCTTCGTCTTCCTCAAATATTTCCATACTTCCCCTGGATTCCTCAAGATTGCTTGGAAAAGCTTACTGATCACGAACATCAAATCCGGACGTGCTCATGCGACCAGCCACATCAGTTCCCCTCAACCTTCTTTTCTTCACTTTCCTCTTCCAAGCTCATCGCCTGGTCTTTGGTGATAGGAGGTATGATGATAGGAATGCCGGAATGGTGTCCAACCTCCTCTCCTCTTCTGTTCAGTAAATCATTATTCCAAAATTCACCATCATTATTAGTATTGTCATTATGTTTATTGTTATCAATTCTATTATTCGTATTATTATCATTGGTAATACTATTGTTGTTATTTATTATTTTTACTATTTGTCACTTTCATAGACAGTTGATTCCATTCGACATGCGATGTTGTCATGCCATTTGACGCGCCATTCCGTACAGGTGCCAAAACCTGATCGTACTGAGCGCGCTGCGAAGGTCCAGTGCTCCAACAACGGACTAAGAGCATAGTCATTATTCAGAATGTCACGACCTACAAAGGGTGATTGAGATTTTGTGCCAAACAAAATCAACGAGTGATCGGGTTGCTTAAAGTAGACAGCTCACAAAGGGAAAATTCATAGATAATGATTTGTTGAATGATAATGCATCATGAATAGTTTATCCTGTGCACAGCGTGTTGCCTGTTGCGGCTGCAGACATACTTGTGCAAGCTCCACGTGATGGGCCGATGCCGCGAGGGACAGGAGCATTGTAAGCATGAACCGCAGTTGAGAACAGCAACTTGTGTGTGGCTAAGTCTCCATAATAACTTAGGCCAACGTAGAATGTTCATTTGTCTTTAACTATAAAAAAGAGTTGCTGTTTTGCTTGTCATAAAAGGATGTGTTTTGCTTGTCAAGCCGCAGGAGTGCCCTCATGCGCATGGTAAAGATGAGCTGGCCGAGTCTCTGCAGGTGCAGTCCGGTGCAGTCCTTTGTAGCCTTCCTTCCTTTTAATGTCTAAACTTGGGAAATCTGCCCTCTTAAGCGTCACACATTGACCGCGCAAGACGGTGGCGGAAGTTTCCAAACAGAATAAGAGAAGAAGATGATGACGATGATGATGACGATGATGATGACGATGATGATGATGATGATGATGTTGATGCCGGCGACGATGATGCTGATGATGACGATGCTGCTGCTGCTGATGATAATGACGATGATGTGATGATGATGATGATGATGCTGATGATGTTGATGATGAGGGTGACGATGATGATGATGACGAGGATAATGACGATGATGATGACGATGATGATGACGACGATGATGAAGACGATGATGAAGACGATGATGATGACGATGCTGATGATGACGATGCTGATGATGACGTTGATGCTGATGATTTTGATGATGACGATGCTGATGATGACGATGATGATGACGACGATGATGAAGACGATGATGATGAACACGATGCTGATGATGGGGCTGATGATGATGATGACGACGACGACGATGATGACGATGATGATGAAAACGATGCTGATGATGACAATGCTGATGATGCGGCTGATGATGATGATGTTGATGATTGTAGCTGAATGATGATGATGCTGACGATGATGATGACGATGCTGATGATGACGATGATGATGTTGATGATGATGATGACATGCTGCTGCTGCTGATGATGATGATGACGATGATGTGATGATGATGATGATGATGATGCTGATGATGACGATGATGATGACGATGCTGCTGATGATGATGCTGATGATGACGATGATGATCATGACGATGATGATGACGATGATGATGAACACGATGCTGATGAATACAATGCTGATGATCATGATGCTGATGATGACAATGCTGATGATGACGATGATGATGATGATGTTGATGCCGGCGACGATGATGCTGATGATGACGATGCTGCTGCTGATGATGATGATGACGATGATGTGATGATGACGATGATGAACATGATGTTGATGATGATGATGACGATGCTGCTGCTGCTGCTAATGATGATGACGATGATGTGATGATGATGATGCTGATGATGACGATGACGATGCTGATGATGATGACGAGGATAATGACGATGATGATGATGATGATGATGACGATGCTGATGATGAAGATGCTGATGATGACGACGATGATGATGAAGATGCCGATGATGACGATGATGATGATGACGATGATGATGATGATGATGACGATGCTGATGATGACGATGATGATAATGATGATGATGCTGATGATGTTGATGCCGGCGACGATGATGCTGATGATGACGATGATATGATGATGATGATGATCATGATGATGATGATGATGATGCTGATGCTGATGATGTTGATGATGAGGGTGACGATGATGATGATGACGATGATGACGATGATGATGATGACGATGATGATGACGACGATGATGAAGACAATGATGATGACGATGCTGATGATGACGATGCTGATGATGACGATGATGATGATGACGTTGATGATGATGATTTTGATGATGACGATGCTGATGATGACGATGATGATGATGACGATGATTTGATGAAGATGATGCTGACGATGACGATGATGATGATGATGATGATGTTGGTGATTGTGGCTGAATGATGATGATGATGCTGACGATGATGATGATGATGATGATGACGATGCTGCTGCTGCTGATGATGATGATGATGACGATGATTTGATGAAGATGATGCTGATGATGACGATGATGATGATGATGACGAGGATAATGACGATGATGGTGATAACGATGATGATGACGATGCTGATGATGACGATGCTGATGATGACGTTGATGATGATGATTTTGATGATGACGATGCTGATGATGACGATGATGATGACAACGATGATGATGATGAAGATGCTGACGATGACGATGATGATGATGATGACGATGATGACGATGCTGATGATGACGATGCTGATAATGACGATGATGATGATAGTGATGCTGACGATGATGATGATGATGATGGTGATGATGATGATGATGACGATGATGACGATGCTGCTGCTGATGACGATGATGAGGGTGACGATGATTGCGATATGTGCATGGTTGTATGAGTGTAAATGTAAGATTCTGTGTGAATGTTTGTACAACTGAATTTATGTGATTGTATCTGTGTGATTGTATGATTATATGTGCATGATTGTACGTGTATGATTGTATGTACATGTTTCTTTGATTATATGCGCATAATTGGATGTATACACTTGCGCCTGCATGATTATATGTGTAACGCTTGTGTAGCCTTCGCGCTTGATGTGATGATAATGACAACATGGCCACATGCAATTACATGACAGTGCATGATCGTATTTATGTTTGGTTTAACCCGAAACATCATTACATGATTGTATGATTGCCCCCTCGAAATTATATGTGTTTGGATTTGGCAAACATGTGCTTCAGCGACGCAATGTAAACACGTGTGAAACGTGAAGAAACTTTCAAGCTGTTGGGTATAGCGCTTGAGTCTATTTTTCTTCAGTTGCTTTCTCATAATTTCCAAGCGAAGTATGTTTAGCATTATTTTTGTTTTCTCAGGAACACTGTTGTTTTTTGATAAATGATGCCGATAATTTACACTGTGCCACCTCAAAACTTGAAACTTTGTGAGTCCACGTGCTACCTCACACCTCACAGCGCGTATCATATCCTGGGATGCGACCAGGGCCGTGCTTGCGGCCATGGCCAACATCCAGAGCACGCGTTGTGAATGGCCCAGGGATCACTGATTCAACGGATATTTATGTGAAAGGTTTCAACGCTTTCAACAATCAATCGGATATTCATTGGTTCCACTTGACTCAGATGATGTCCACGGTGCTTGTGCTTGAGGGGTTGGACTCAGGCAGCACAGACAGCTAGAGGAGCGACAGCTGAAGGAGCAACAAAGACGTTCCCGTGCGCTAGGCGCGATGCGCGATGGAGTTTGCGCAATGGAGTTTGTTCACCATTATATTCCGCATGTTTAGATTCACATATTGTGTACAAGGAGACATATACATCATATATGCGTTGATATGTCTCTGTGATTTGAACCATGATATGGTGATGGATCCAATGTACATGATGATTCATGCTGATTGAACCAATGGCTCTGCAAGGCGTACTTCTTGGCAACACTGTTGCCTCGGACGCGCTGCCTGAGGCAATCGCCAAGGGCCAACCCCGCCTCCAACCAACAGCTGACCACATCTGAACCATGATGAACCAACACGGTGGCTAAAGCGGCTCAGGGTGACAATTTTTTGGAACTTAAAAAATTTGGAATCAATTACATTTAGGTTGTGACAAACATTTGCCATTACATCAACTAATGGTTAGAGCCAGAATGGTACGAAGAAACATTTATTGGTGTACTGGTATACGGCTATCAGACCAATGACATTCAATCACCATAGCCAGATTAGTGTAACTATCACTGGATGAGAGGACGTCAAACAAATCAGGACTTGTAGCAATCAACCGCAATTTGTCAATGATAGCCTGCTGCTACTCGGCTATTCGAATGTGAGTACCAACTGATCGACACAGTGCTTGCTTAGATGGTATGATTGTCAACAGGTTTGGACGTTTGGGCATCGCCAAACCGTGTGGGGGTGACACCTGTGACGCAGAGCATGAGATCAGCATCCTTGTGGGGTGAGCACCATTGTTCTCAGAAGCGCTGCCCCAATGAATATCACACATGAATTGATGACTTTCCAACCAATGAATATCACACAACATGGATACTACTCATAAAGCTATAAATGAGAGACCCATAAGTAAATTAAGGGCAATCCTGATGTTTCGTGTTTTGCGTGGTCACCGATATAGCTACTTTGATGTATTATGATGTGGCGATTGCATGTTACCTGAGTCATGGTGCGGTTGGGGAGTAGGACCATTTGTGATGCATGACTGTACTGCTCATTTACCAATGAGTACTGTACCGTCTATCAACAGCAACCATTGTAACCTGGGGATTCTTCAACATGTGCCTTGGAGACTCGCAAATCGTAGTATCGGTGACCCCATGCAGCCATCCTCGCAAGCAAAAAAGGATGGTGTCACTTTGATATCACGAGTTTAAGTGGTGATATGACAAATCTCAAGCATTACAACAGCACCACTTCTGTTGAAACAGGTCATGGAATGGGCGGCTTCGCGGTTGAGTGCCACACGCTTTGCGTTTCGAGGCAAAAGCATTGCAGTGCATGGGCGGGGCGGTTGCTGCACCAGCCCCCAGTGCTGGGATGGAGATGCTGGGGCAACATGCCACAGGACAAGTGAAGAGTTGCTGGGCAGCACAATGGGATGGTGACTTTAAGCGGATTAATAGTGGCTAATGAAGCTGAAAGTTGGTTGACTACCAGCATCAAGCTGGTTGATAGTGCCTGATAATTGTTAGTTTTGGTTAATAATGGTGTGTACTGATTGATGATGGTTAGTACTGATAGTGATTAATAATGGTTGGTGATGCTGAATGATGCTTAGTATTGGTTGGTCATGCTCCACAAGGGTTGGTGATGGTTCATATATAATGGGTACTGATGTTGCAGAATGGTTGATAGTGTTCTATGATGGTTGAGAATGTAATGGCTGGTACTGGTGGTTGATAACGATTTGTATTGGTTGACTGTAAGCTTAATGATGGTTAACAATGGCTGGCAGAGGTTGATCTAAAGACTTATATATCATGGTTTACGATGATTAATACATGTTAATAGTGTTGCCATCCCAAAATCATGCACTGACTAGACATAGGTGAGACCCATAGCGATTTGCAGCTTAGAACTTTGGCCAAGCAAACGGTTTGGGCGTAGTTTGAAGCAATCATGGGGGGTCCCTGAAGGGAAGCCCTTTTGTTTCAGGAGCAACTACATGCTACATGAAGATGGCATATACAATGACACAGGGTTGTTATTTCTGGAGAGGGGCAGGCTGAATAACAGAGGGTGGAAAAGACTTTTTTTCCCACATCTTCTTGCAGGTGTGTCTGACTTCATTACAAATGGATGATATCAACGACTGATGTAGCGGAAGAAATCTGCCTTGGTGTGGTACCATTTGCCGCTTGCCACAGTCCCTTTCCCGGATCAGAAATGCGATGTGCATGCATGTACATAACTATAGTCTATTGGTGCGTGATATGTCTAGGCATCCTTGGGCGATGTTCAGCGATGTTTTTGTGGACAAGCCATTCTCATATCTTCGGCTCAGTGGTTGCTTAATATTTTCTTTGTGATGGCTTATCACCAACAAGCTACACTAATAACCACTAATAGCCATGGCTTTAACCACTAATAACCCTTAATACCATGGCTTTAACCAGCACCAACCAGTGTCTATTGCCTCATGGCTGTCTTGTCGACGGCGCTGAGGTTTCTTTGCCAAGCGCGGCTATGGTTTCATCAGCATGACGCCGCCGGCCTCAGGAGTGGCCCGGGTTGCGCTGAGCTTGGCATTTTCAGCATGGCTTTGCCAGCAATTTCTATGAAAATACCAAGGAAAATAGGTCGACCAGTGATTTCTGTGGAAGATTTTTCTACTTCGAGGTTGGTTTATCAGACTTCCAGGTTTTCTACTTCCAGGTTAGTAACACTATGCAACACTTAATTAGTTGTAACACTTAATTAGTTGGTTAGGTTATGAGTAAGCTAGCAGTAATGCTTGAAAATGCTCAACAATGCAGGGGGTAGTACCCAACAATAGTCAAAAACAACCCACGATAGCCAAGAACAGTGATTGACAGAAGAGGATAATGAAGACAATGATAAAGAATGAATAATCACTAGCAACCAACCAATCACTATAAATAGCAGTTATCAATGAGCAATAATCAACAACAGCAATCGACCCTAGTGGTTGAGCGTTGCAAGCGCTGCGAAACTGATCTGGCCTGAAAATCATCAGGGTAGGAAACGGCAATCGTTGCATATAGTTTGCCAGAGAGTAATTATATGGGTTTGTCCCCTTGGCTGGTCATTTTAGTAGGAAACACAAACCAGCTATATAAAAGGGTACATCATTTATGGACAACCCCATATAGACCACAAGGGTTTCTCATCATCTCATGAACGATCATGAACCGCTCACACCAGATTGCGTCGTGCCAAACATATGCTTGCCAAAAGACATCAACCACAAAACAGGAGGCATCAACAAAAACAACAACAACGAGGCAGAAAAGAATGATATCTACGTGACGATAGGGATGTAAGGACGGTGACAAGTTGAAAAAGAGATTTCAAGATAGTCTACTACACTTCATCTGACTTCAGAATGGTTGGGTGATCATCATGTTTATTCCGATTCATAGGTATAAACCGACATTCACATTGCTGGGATACCCATAGAAACATTCCACAAAGTGATCCATACTCCCTGTAATATGGCTGTGGGTCAAAATTGGGTACCCAAAAAAACCATTGGTTCATAATAGATTTCCATTATAAATGACCACATTGGGGGTTCATAATTTTGACTCATACCCATATCAAAGATGGAAGAATGCCCACGTCGTCTGATTTGCTGAGCTCTCAGGAGATATCTTCTTTGCCAAGCGAGATCTACCCATAGCTATCCAGGCAGGGTAAAGATCTGAATCAAGCCAGGGTCTTTGTACGGAAAAAGGGCTGTATGCAACCGTGAAATTCAGGGTCTACGATTCGTGGGTCCTAATTTGTTCCGTTCCAAAGATTGTCTTGTGTCTTTTTCACTTTCTAGGCTTCTACTTTAGTTCATATGTTTGATATGAGAATGCATCGCATTCTTCCCAAGTGGTTTAGCATCTCGTCGAGTAAAGTTGTCCCTGTTAAAAGGGTTTCAAATGAAGCGCTTCTACGCATCGTTGAGGGACCAGGGCTTCTGCTATTGAAGAAGCAATGCTTTGTGTGTCAAAAATGTTTGGTTGGTGGTTTCAAACATGTTTTTTCACTACTAATTATTGACAAATGGTTGGTTGACTAGTATTTTTCATAAGGGCTGAAACCACCAAACAGATGTTCATTCCTCCAAATCGCTTCTTGCTTAACTGGTCATTTTTGCGTGCATGTGCATATTCAGTATATATTTGGATTTACACACGGTCTACTTACGTATAAATGATGCGTGTACCTTGGAACATAAACTTTGACCAACCTTATGTGTGTCCATCAAACGCAATGGTTTGATTTGTCACCGCCGATGCAACCAGCCACATTTTGCTGCTGTGCACCCCTGGTGATCCAAAAGCCTGAGAAAGCATTGATGATGTAATCTTCTAGTATTGGTTAGCTGCATAGGGTTAATAGCAATCCAAAATCAGCAATATGGATTTGTCACATGATCATCAATTTGGGAGGTGCCATCCTTAGGACACATGGCGGGTACCAATCAGACTTCCTGGTTGGACAATCACACCCACTCCATGGGTTCAAAGGTTGGAGACTGCAGCGATGTCACGCATGGCAAACTTCCACACATGATTGTCGCTTACTATTCACTTATTCAAATGGAACTTCATACTTCTGTTTCATAATGGTTTTCCAAGAAGAACATATTTGATCATATGTGTGTAGACCTGAAAATGGCAGACCTGTGCCGCAGGAACGCCTCCAAGTTATATGCGGGGCCCTGTTGCAGACTCCCTTCACCATCTTGCCACCCCCTGGAGGAGACGAACCTTATTGGTGTGAAAATTGAATTTGACATCGGCAGCAGCAATGATGGTCGGACACAGGCTCGGGATCGTCCGCTCTGCCAAGGGACCTAGATCATGCTATCCTGTGAGAATCCAAATTCGAGTGTTCACATGTTTTTGTTATCCAATAGCCGATTGGCTAAGATAACATTGGTTCCAATACTAAATTCACATAAATTAACTAGTGAATTCCTTGTTGTTACATTGGTTGTTACTTATATGTTACTGTAACAACAAGGTTGATCTCCCAGACTTTTCCACCAGGCCAAGAACCTTCTGTGCATGGATGGCGACAGCAGCAGCTTTGGTATGGTTGGCCCTAAGGGCTCTGGAAAAGGTGGGGCAGCCAGTGGGAAACCTTGGGCCGCCTATCGCCCCGCAGCTGGGAGACTAGGATCCTCCATTTCTGTAGGTGGAAGATGAAATCAAACCCTGGCCATCAAACGTGGCCCCCTGCGCCCCCAAATTTCAATGTTGACGTGTTTGAAGCGGGTTGGCGCGAGTGGACGAAAATATCAAACCCCAGGTGCCAGCAACTCAGCGGCGCATTTTGAACATTGAGATTTGGGGTCTGGGTTTTTTGTTTCCTTCCTTGACTTGGGGTTTGATTTTTTTGTCCACCTGTCTCCTGGCCTCGTTTTTGGTTCCTGCAAACCATCCGTGTGTAACTTTCAATTTTGTTACCCAATACTTCCATCCATGCCATGTGTCCTCAAGGCGATGTGCGTCATATTTGCGCGCGGTCTGTTTTTGGTGAGCTGGCACGTCCTGTCACACATTCACTTTTCTAATTCCGCTGGTATGTTTCTATGTCCTCACTCTGACCTCACTCTGACCTATGCCCAAATGCTGGCATTTTCCTACTTTCTTTCTTCCTTCAAGCTGTGAAGAAGGTGAATCTTTACATGTTGAGTTGTAACTAGCTTCGAATCATAGAATCTCTCACGAATCTCACATGTTGTTTTCTTGATTCCTCACGCCCATGATCTCTGGAGGGAAGATGCCAGCTGGAACTTTGGTCGGATAGTTCAGTCGAACTCAGCTTGACTCCAATCTTGAATCCAACCTTCGATGTTGAGATGAAATATTGGATTCTGAAGCTTTGTCATTTAAGCAGATCTCATTTCAACAGTTTCCATGTTTTTTTTCTGAAAATCTACTCCATCCTTCGTTGTTGAGAAGAGTTTTGGAAAACAAGTTTCTCTAACGTCCGGATTTTTCCATGGACACTTCACTTCTCTTGAGAGATTTTGGAGTTATGAATTACTATTTTTCAAAAAATAAATAAGACTAAATATTTTAAAACGAATATATGGATACGATCATGAAAACATATCTCTCCGCGACTGCCTGTAACGAAAGGCTCTAGAGATTAACGTCCTCCCCGTTGGAACGTGCGATCTGAATAAGGAAATGGAGTAGTTTGTTCCGGAAAACCTGGTTCAGAGTTCAGCCCAGATTGCTTAGAGAGGTAAAAGGGACTTGGAGAGCCCAGCTTCGCTCCTCCCAACAGGCCCCTTCCAGCACTTGGATCATAATTCGCTCCTCCCAACACAATGGTTCTATGGACCGTCTTGGCAGCTACGTCAGTTATTTGGCGAAACACAGTTGTTGTTACTGATAATATTTTTTAGATTGAATGTTTCACCATTACCTCTTGGATGTAGTGTACATTGGTCTTGTCATTATGCAGCTACTGTCGGTTGTCATGGTGTGCTTGGCAGCGTTCATATCCAGTCTCAATGCAGGGGCGAGATTGCTTCTGACTTGTTGTTTCGATTTGCAACTCATCATTCATTTGTGCATTATCAAGGTGATAACATAACTAATATTATGGTTTGAGTATGTATATTTATATCCAAGGGATATTGGTTTGGTCGCATGAAAGTCAGGAATGCAAAGTTGAGAATTTGTCGAGAACCTCCTTTTTGACCACTTGTTTCGCAATTAATGCATATTGGACGCTTAACAAAGTTCAGTTGTGTGAAAACAGTCTTCGATATACTCTTAGCGTTCACAAAGCATAATTTATAATTATTACTAACGATTGTTTATGCCTATCCATTTTCATGAACATATTAATATTGTAAACATTAGTGACCGGCTTGTATTATAGTAGGATTCAAGGAGTTAGCATTAAATCGTATGTGTGAAGATATTCTAGATTGAAAGGTTATGAATTGACATCATGCGCCGATAATGATCGAGTAGTTTATTTTTCTTGGTTTTCAGCAACTATTCATCCACTGCTGGTGAATTGTTGGAGGGATCTGAGACAGATAACTCCACAACACAGCAAACTAAGAGAACTAGTGAAAAAAAATCCTCAGAACACCAAGTCACGAGACAAAATCGAGCCGGCCATCATGTAACCATCATTTAACCATCGAACCATCTCCCAAGCATCGAACCTGCCCCAATGTGCATAGCGCTTCCGCGCAGGTGATGCCAGCGATGGGTCTCGTCTCCTGGGGCAGATCCGAGATGTGAACCAGGCGGAGTTTCGGTGCCGCTGGACCAATGGGGGTAGCGTAGCTGGACCAATGGTCAAGCAGCGTGACCTACTGCTATGCTTAAAGGTTACTTAGGGTAGTGGTCAATGAGGGTGACCCATGGTCAGTTAAAGGTTACGGAGGGTCTTGATTAGTAAACCCCCCCCTCAACCAAACCAGGGGGATGTTTAAGAAAAGATTCCTTAAAAACCATTCCTGAGGAATGGAGGATCTACTCTAATCTTCTCTACTCTTCTCCGCTCTTCTCTTCTCTTCTCAACTCTTCTCTTCTCAACTGTTCTCTTCTCTGCTCTTCTCTAATCTTCTCTACTCTTCTCCGCTCTTCTCT